ACGTGATTTATTCACCACAATGGATTTTTGATTGCGTTAATGAGAATTTCATTCTTCCATGTGGAGAATATGCTATTGGTCAAAAATTACCACCACATCTATCTCCTTATGTTAATGAAGAAGAAGAAGGATATGTTACAGAACGTAGAAAACAATTGGATGCTATCAAGAATAATACTAAATATGATTATGAAGAAGAACAAAAGAAAGAAGAAGAAAGTAAAAAGATACAAGTAAAGGATCTTGAAAGTGATTTTGTTGATGGACTGGTAGAAGAAATGGGAGAAGAGAAAAAAGGAAAAGGAAAAGCACCTTCTGTCAGCAAAGAGGCTAAGAAAGAAGAACAAGAAAAGAAAAGAAAGATGGCAGTTTTAAGTGGTAAAGATAGAAGAATTGTTATGAAGAATGAAATGCTTGAACGACGCCAAACAAAGAAAGTAAATAAATTAAAAGAAAGATTAGCTAAATCAAAAGAACAAAAATAATGAACTGAGTTTAAAATGAATTGATTGATAATTAAAGATAAGAAATACTAATTTAATATAAAATAAAATGAGAAAATAAATAATTTATTTTTATAAAATATACATTAAAAAATATTCAATCTTATTTCAATACTATAATATTTAAGTAACTTACTGAAAAAATTAACAATGAATTTCTTATTATTTATCTGTATATATTTTTTAATCATTAAATATTTAAATACAAGACAAAATCAAATTATCGTTTATTAGAACTGTATTTTGTTTGTTTAGTGCTTGTTTTCGTTCTTTATTTTCATTCTTTATTTTCATTCTTTATTTTCAATTCTTTCTAACATTCTTATAACTTCTTCTATTCTTATTCTTTCTTTCGCTTCTTGTTTCCATGTTTTTTCAATAATTTCTTTAATATCTTCTTCAACTTCTTGTATTATTGGTGGTCGTTTACCTGTTGTGATTGAATCTGCAATATCCCATGGAAAATTGTATATTTCTTTAGGAAATGATCTTGAAATGTAATGATTTGTAACATTGTTATTGAATATGAATATATATCTGATTCCATTTTATAATGTTCTCGATTTAATATTTCTGGTGCCATGTATTTTGGTGTTCCTATCCTTTTTGTGAATGTCATATTTGTCATCATCATATTAATGTTTCTTGAACTTCCAAAATCTGTTAATTTACAATTAACTCCAATATTATCATCAAGTGTTATAACAAGAAAGTTATCTGGTTTAATATCTCGATGTAGTATTCCATTTGAATGAAGATATGAAATTCCTTTTGCTCCATCTATCATGAATTTAATTCTTATTTTATTTGGTATTTCCGTGTTTGTTCTTTTATTAATTAAATCATGTATTGATCCATATTTTGCATATTCTGTTATCATACATATTTTATTAGGAATAAATACTGCTCCATAAAATTGAATAATGTATTCACTTCGAAATTTATCTAACATCATTACTTCTTTCTCAAATTCTTTCATTTTATCTTCATCTTTATCAATTTGTTTCATTTTCTTAATTGCTACTTGATTTCCTCGAAATTCTCCTATATATACAATTCCAAATGTTCCTTCTCCTATTTTATTTTCTTCTTTTATTTCATCGGGATCAAGTCGTGTTGATATTTGTGTTTCTCCTTTAATTGAAATACTTTTAATTATTTCTTCTTGTGTTTTATTAAGTGTTTTACTAATTATCATTATTTGTTCTTTAATTTTAGTAGTACATTTGATTGTAATGAATATTTCAAATTCACATGCATATCCTCATTCAATTGTAATGATATTTGGGTTTGTTCTAATTGAATATTTTTCATTTTCTTCTTTACTACTTATTTGTATTTTCTTTTTTTCTTTATTTTCATTTCCAATACATATTAATTCTCTGATTTCTTTATTTACTTCAATTTCTTCTCCTTCTCCTATTTCTATTTCTTTTTTATTTGTTATTATTCCATCTCCAAGTGATATGAATTTGATATTTGATTGTGAAATTTTAAATATTGTTGTTGTTTTCTCTTGTTCTTTCTTTTCTTTGCGTTTTATAATGTAATTAATCATTATAATTATAATTATAATTATTATAATGATGATAATAAGTATAATGATGATAATAATCATTATCATCCACCATACTATTTCTTTATTACATTTTGTTCCTTCTTCATTGATTCCATACCAAAATGAACATTTTGAACATTTATTATTTTTTGTTTCTTTACATTTATTAATATTTGAATAATGAATACATTCCTTATTTATTATTATATATTCATCTTCACATTTATTACATTCTTTCTCATTTAAACATGTTATACATTTATTTCCACATTTTGAACATTCTTTATTTATTAAATAATATCCTGTTAAACATTCTCTACATCCATATTCTTTATCTATTTCTCCTTTACATCCTTTAATTGTTGTTGTTGATTTACATATTCCTGTTGAACTCATAAAATATCCTTCTCCACATATTATACATTTATCTTTTTGATTACATGTTAAACATTCTTTTTCACATTTTGAACATCCTTTTCCATTTCTATAATATCCTTTATTACATATTCCACATCCACTTCCATCTGCTAATATTGTAAACATGTTCCATTTAATTCTTTATTTGATTGACATGTTTTATCATTTCTTAAATATTTATCATTAGAACAACTCATACAATATGTAGATGTTCCATAACATGTTTCACATTTATCATCACATTTTAAACATTTCATGTCTTTTGTTAAATAATATCTTTCTTTACATCTTTTACATCCATATGTATTTTGTTCTTTACAATATTCTATTTTTGTATTAATACATTCTCCGTTTAAATTAGGTGAATATGTATTTAAACATTCAACACATTTTCCATTAACATATGAATTATTTAAACAATATTGAATATTATTATTACATTTTCCATTTTGATCTTTTATCATATCTTCTTCACATGTTTTATTTATACATTTATTATTGTATAGTCACGAAATTATGCATTTTATTCGTATTCATTATTATATTATTATAATGATTTGTGAACTTGTTTATTATTTCATAATTGCTGTCTAAATGTGATGAATGTATTCATTGTTTGTTTAAAACATGATGTTTATGTTTGATAGATCATTGAAATGAATTATCATGTTGCAAATTAATTCTTGTTAATTGTTTAAAAGGTAAAAAATAGTAGATAATACTATTAGATGTAAATATTTGTGATTAAATATGAGAATAACATATTTGTAAATTATTAGTTATATCTTTCTACTTCGATGTCTGTATTAAATGAATATATCTGTTGATGAAATTGAAATAAAATAAATATAAAATGAAAATGATAAAAGAAAGAATAAAGAAAATAATAAGAAAGTAAATATAATGATTAATGATAAAATTAATGAGTTATTATCATGAATGAAAGTTGAAGATGAATATTAAATTCATTATTATTAATTATAAATGTTTAATTTATATTACATATTAAATGGTCATTCTTCATTCTGTATTAGTGTGTTGATGTTTAAATTATTCAATTTGTTATTATCATATCATCATTTCATTGAAACTTCTTATTTATTATCTTTTTATTTATTTCATCATTTAATTCTTGTTTGATATGATAATATAAATAATTTACATTGTACTTTATCATCATTCATCATTGATAATCATTTGTGATATAATTTAATTTTCATATCAATAATTATATCATTTAAATAAATAAATAATAACATCTGTTAACATATCATTATGACATCTCATCAATGTGATAAATGAAATGGAACATATTTACACATTAATAACAATACGATTGATATTCATATTTATATAATCATTGTTATTCATAACTAACATTATAAATTTGAATTAATATAATGTTCTTCTTTATTACTTTTCATAATGATATTTTCACATTAAAATAGAATTGAAGGTAAATGAAATGAAATAAAGAATAATATAAAATGAACACAATTATGAATGAAAATACTCAACAAATCAATATACAAC